AGTTGTTGCTAGCATTCTGCTGGCGCACCTTTGTTTCTTTTTGCTGTCCTCGTAAGAATGCATGGAACGGTCGACGATTCCATGACCTAAAAGTATGTGATAACTGTATTGTCAGAGCTGTTTTTGATTGCACACAAAAGTACATCTCATTCCCATTTTCATTTATACGGCGATGGCGTGTTCATCGTTAAATCACGGTCCTGACGCACCGATGGATGAGGTCTGCCGAGGAGTCTGTGAGGGAATTAACGTCACCTGTACTGAGGAGCTAGGTAAAGAAGAGTTTCATAACCGACTGTCATCCCCAGAGACGCGTTGTAGAGAATAAGAAGTTTCGGGAAATTGAATAAAGGAGTGCGAAGACTATATTTCCTTACCAGACGTTTCAAGAGCAAAGAGGCGGTGACCATCATATTGGGGATCAACATCGCGCTCCGCTATATCTAACAGCGCCAGTTGTAACACCATTTTTTACAAGCAGCAGTAGGTGGACTAACTCATGAAATATCAACCAAAATTCCGAAATGCGTCTTTTCTCGTGCAGAATATTTCTATAATAATTCAAATATGCCAGGTTGTCGGCGTTCAAGCAAACATCTTTCCGGCTGCATGTTAAAACCAAATTCTGCAAAAAACGGCTACTTAAGTAGCAAGCACTTTTCCCATGGATTTTCATTGCCCCTAAATATTCAGTTATATTTCATAGAAAACATACCTAAAATATTCATGGTTTTGCTCACCGGACAAAAAAATTACGTCTTCTTTTAATTTTATATTCGAAGGAAGTGTATAATTTGGTTTTATAAAACTTTTCCAATTCTCGAATAATTTTAAACCCAGCATGCAGTTATATTTGCATTCAAGGGTTACAAACTACAAACCATACATTTTCTGCTTACAAAATACCATACATTCATGTACAGTATTTAGAGAAGATCATGTGGGGTTCGTAAAATTTAGCAGTAAATTAGAGCCATATTGTAAACCTTAAAACCCGCATTGGCAAATGCAGAGACATGACGTTTTATGAGCGGCTTTTTTACGGTTTCGAAAATTCTCATAATTAGAAATTTCTTGAAAACCGAATTATAACCTTCCTTCGATTATAAAATTGGCAGAAGACGTCTTTTACTACCAAATGATCAAAGGGATGAATATTTGTATGCATGTTTTCTATGACATATAACTGAATATTTAAGGGCCACAAAAATCAGTGGGAAAATTGCTTGTCATTTAAATAGTTATTTTTTGCAGAGTATGGTTTTTGCATGCAGTCGGAAAGAGGTTTATTCAAAAGCCGACATCCTGACATATCCGAATTACCATAGAATTATTCGGCACAATGATTACTTTCCAAACCCTACTTAATTAATCCTTTCGAGACAAACACGCATTTCGGAATTTCGGTTGACATTTCATGAGTTAGCCCACCTAATGTAAATGTCATCGCTCTCAATCAGACTTTTTGTGATTCTAAAGACATTGAAAATACCCTTTTGTGTTTGATCGAAAACTACTCTTTTATGCCTTTGATTTACGGCTTTGTCACTGGCATTAACGACGGAAATGAAGTGAGACCAATTTTTCTGATTAATAGCGACCATGAGGCATGCGTTTTATCAATCCTGGTTGAGTAAAGCTTATTAAACTGCAGAATATTTTAAATTGAAATTTTTGCAGAAGCCTATGAGAATGGCAGAGTGCCCGATGTGCGTCAAGTAACTTCACATCACCGCCGACAGAGAACGTTCGTTTGCTTTGAGAAACCATACTCCCCACGTCAGTTAGCGGCTTATTTGATCCTCTGAGCAAAAGGTTATAGATATGCAACTTTCATGTTGTTTTGAAACCGAAATATTAGCTAACCTTGTTGAAACTATTAACCTCTGTATACGACGGGTCACGCCAGTCAGTCAGTCACTCAGGCTGTTCAACCACGCGACCCACTGTTATCTTTTACGGGTGAGGTAGCTGTGTCGGTCAGTCAGACGATGTGCAAGGCATGACCTGCGGGGTTCAAATATTGTCTTGATTTTTGGTCTCCACAGACTAGTCCGTGTCTGTACCCTTACTGCAGGCTGCAAGGAAACTTTGAAGAACTCTCTGAAAGGACTACAGATCAAACCGGAGACCTAGAAGAACCTCGTTAAGAAGAGGCCGACACAGTCATCTAAGAAGTAAATCACAAGTGCAAATGCCTTGACTCCTCAATGCATCTGTCTGCCACGTTCAACAGTGACGTGGCACATTTCAAGGACCGACCGCCATCGTAGGACATCTTCGGACGCAATCAACTAACAACCCGAAAACGTCAACTTCTCTCCCACCTCCCGCACCTGCTTCAAGCTCCCCATCGACGACGACCACTGTGATCAAAGATGATCACACTGCCGCTGTCCCCACCGACATCACGCGCCCTGCCAGGACCTCTGCGTCGATTACAGCTACCAACACCACGACACCTCACATTGCTCACTGTTGCTTCTTACGAAGTGGGGTTGCTCTGTCGATCAGGCGGTCAATGCTGGGTTCGAATGCTGCCTTGATTACTGTTCCCCGCAGATTAGGACGTGTGTATACTCCAACCTCAGAGTGACCGCTATCTGGATGTTTCGTTAGCGAAGATCTAGGGATTTTGTTGTTATGCCGTCAAAAACATTTAGGCAGGTGCTCTACTTACCTGTCTGACAAGTGTCTTTTCGTCTACTTAATCTACTTGTTCGGATGCAATTAAGTCCAAATCTGCGCCACCCAGAAGCACCTAACATACGACGGAAAAAAGCCGGCCTGCGCAAACAGCTAGATAGCGCGCCCTGTTGATCCCGTGTTACTTACATCTAGACAACCACTTTTATATGCTAACATTCTCTCTTTTTCTCTCTGTTTCTAAGTTATTCTCCACATTCATTAGTGTGTGCGTACTTAGCAATAAGGTTGCTGTTTGTCATTGATTATTTTGTGAAAAATCAAATAGCTGTCTGCTGCTTATTTGTTATCTATGTTATGCAAAGACCAGCTGAAGTTGTGTGTTGTCCCGAAATTTGTTGTTGCTGATAAAGGCGGATGTCCACGCGTGTCCATGCTTCGAAATATGAGTCACAACAAATAAGTTTGTAAGTCGTCTGTTAGGATTCTGCCATCGAACCTCCCTCTCACGTCCAACTCACAGATTGTAAAGTGTGCAATCACCATATCTAGTGCCGACAACTACCTGTCATTGTCCGCCTTACATACATTTCAAATGAAAGCATGTTAGAGTATCTCAAGACCTATTAAATTATGTTTGAAACGTCTCGAAGCATCTCGTCCACCGAATTGCTTGCTTTTCTGCGTAAGTGTTCGTCGATATGCGAGTTCTGAGCTTTGCAACTTTGTGCGATCCCAGCTCTTTGTCCCAAAAGATTAAGCAAACTTCTCTGTTCTATGTTTCACCTACTAAAATCTGCCAGAGTTAAGATGGGCCAACGCATGCATCGAAGGTGTCGTTGGTTGTCTTTGCAGGTTACATGTCTTCTCCGGCTCGTTTACTATCTCCAGCGTGGCATTTTATCCTAAATAGCGCACTACCAAGGGAGTTAACGCCACGAATTTTAAGCTGGCCGACTTTGCCGCTACACGAAAGGTGCTTTTTATAAGAACCAGCACAGTCAGTCACGGTGAAAAAACCGTTATTTATCTTATTTTAAATATGCATACCAGCAGTCTAAAGAACAGAGCGGAAATCGCAGACTCAGAAGAGACACCAAAGTGCTGCTAATGGTGGCCTTTAGACCAACTGTTGCAGTGAACTTCGTCAACTTTGACGATAGAACACGACCTATTCCCGCCGATAAATGCCCCCAATAAATTCCATATAAGCTATGTAGATTTTTAGATTGCCTGTGTTACTGGTAATGTTATAGCCGTTACCCAGAAATTAAAACTCACATCTTCCACCGTGGCCATTTGTTACCCTGATTGAAAATCCTAACTGTAACCAAGTGGAGTGGATGACGATTTGGAGATTTTGCATATTTTTAAAGGATCAAGAATAGCATGCATCCGGGTTTTTTAGTTTAACAACCGGTGATGTTCGTCTGCTTTTAGACGACACAACGGTTAGCCGACCAGAAAAGACTACCTCCAGTCCCATTCTATATGGAGAGGGCAAGAATAAACTACCAGCTCAGACCACCTCTATGTCTATTTACTCCTTCACCTGTTCCTGTGGGGCAGAATATATTGGTTGCACGAGCCGGCGTTTATCCAAAAGAATGAAAAAACATCTCCCAGCATGGTTAGAAAGGGACAGATAAAGAATGTCAACAGCTTGATCCTCGCGCACATAATGGGCACAGACCACCGTGTAGACGCCAGAGAGGCCTTCGGAGTGATTTACAAGGTCCCATCAAGCTATCCAAAACTGTTTGGGCAGCGCTTGTTGCCTACGGCAGAGGCGGCTGCAATCAGGCTACGCCGACCGGTCCTATGCGCACAGAAGAACTTCGTGCAGGTCCCACAGTTACCATGGTTCAAAGCCTCCAAGCCAACCACCAGCATGTAATTACCTTCGCCGGGACCCACCTTCTCCCTGGCACTGACGGGAATTGTGATATTTCACTCTTCCCCTCCCCCCTCCTCTCCCCTCTCAGAACCCGAACTACAGCTTAGTTATCTACTTGTCCGTATCTTTTAATTCATTACTTCAATAACCATATAAATGTACAGGCCTGAAGAGAATTTATCGAAAGCAGACGTATGCTCGCCAAATTGCCTTTTGAAAGACTACTCTGTTAGTTAGAGAAATGACAACGCACAGTTGGCCCATTTCAGCTTAAAAAAGTCATGTATCCAGTACATGATTTTCTGAAGAACTCTTCCAGTGTCAAATTAACGAGACGCAAAAGCATCTCTAGTCCTCAAGAAGGACGCCGTGAAAGAGCTATTCCGTCTGCTGTTGTAAATCAGTAAGCAAGATAATGAATAAGAGTTTGTGACTGCCAAGGCAAAAGTCGTAACTGATGATCGATGATGATGATGATGATGATGATGATGATGATGATGATGATGATGATGATGATGATGATGATGATGATGATGATGATGATGATGATGATGATGATGATGATAGATTTATGGACAACTTCTTCGAAGAACTGTGTAACTACCTAGCGACTGTGTCGAAGCTGGAGAATCCGGCCGTTCGTTTACCAAAATATAACCCTGATTAGGATACATTTTACGTAATTTTGAGGTGAAGCAAATGCAGTTATCTGCAGAGATGCGGTGAAATTCCATTGGGTTATCGTGAAGGGCGGAAACCTACAATTAGGCAGGTCCTCAAAACTGAGCAATTAACCTGTTTTTGAGTATGAAATTATGTATTCGCATACACAAGACGGACATCCTCAACAACAAACCGTTTGCTTTTTCTTCATAAACTTTTTATTTGGTCCGTGTACGTTCTTTTACTTTACAGAAAAATGTGTTTCACTTTTAAAAGTGCGACAATTTAAAAACCCATAAACTGGCTAAGATGAAAACAAGGGAAATATACACTCAATGTTATCACGCGTGCCTGCAGTGGCTACAGTAGACTACCTATACGTCAGTGTTTGGTTATACAGTAGGTGGGCTGACTCATGAAATGCCAAGCAAAATTCCGAAATTCGTTTTTGTTTCGAAAAGATTAATTACGTGAGATTTTAAAACTAATCAGTATCCTGCACAATGTCATAATAATTTAGCTACCCCAGGATGCCAGCATTCGAATGAACCACATTAAGGCTGCATGCACAAACTATGCTTTATAAACAACGACTCCTTATGAAGCATGCATTTTCATCATTGATTGTCGATGCCCTTAAAGATTTATTTATATTTCATGGAAAACAGATATGAAAATATTCAATATTTTGTTCATTTGGTGGAAAATTATGCCTATTCCTAATTTTAAACTCGAAGAAGTGGTATGATTCGGTACATGCAAACATTTCCAATTCTGGAATAATTTTTAACCCGACCTGCCGTTACACTTGGATTTAGGGTTTCGAAACTTCAAGGCGTATATCTTCCGCGTACGCAAAACCATACATTTCTCTGTGGTATTAAGAGGAAACCATATGGGGTTAATACAATTTAACAATGGATTTGAGGCGTATTGTTCACTTCACAAGCCACATTGGTAAATGCAGAGACATGACGATTTACGAACGGCCATTCCACGGTTTTAAAAAAATCCCACAATTAGAAACTTCTTTAAAATCGAACTATCCCCTACCTTCGAGGATAAATAGAAAGAAGACGAAATCTTCTGCGGAATGAGCATGAGATTGACTATTTTTACGCATGCTTATCATCAAACAGGGTTAAAGTTATAAGAACATCGAAAATCAATGAAAAGATGCATGCTACATATGAAGTCATTTTTTGCAAAGTATAGTCTTTGCATGGAGCCGTAATGAGGTTCGTTCGCAAGCTGGCATCCTTGAGCAACTAAATTATAATGGCATAACACTGCATGCCGATTCGTTTTATAATCTTATTTAATTAATATTTTCGAAACGAAAACGCATTTTGGGGAAGTTGGTCGACATTTCATGGGTTAGCCCACGCACTGTATGGATAACAGTTCAGCCATCGAGCCCGTCGATGTTTACCTCGTGCCCCACAACAGAATGGGCACAAGGACGACGAAATGCAAGTAAATTAGTTTATTCATAGATGTTTTGACAGATTTTGAATACCTCATATTGACCCAAGTGTGAAAAACTCGATGCCTCGGTGGGATTCGAACCCACCCAGTAAGGTGAAGGCTTTAGTACGGCCAACGCTCTAATCACCTGAGATACGAGGCTGCGCCGGACGACGCGAGTTTAATCACATTTGGGTCAAGTTACCAACCCAACCTACTACAACGTCACGAATCCATCAAATCTGGTTTAGGAAAAAACAAGCAAAGGAGGTGAAAAACCAGCGAATCGCCATAACATTTCTGCACCCCGTAGGGTGGGCGAGAATGGTCCTTGTGGATAGGAGCGTCTGCGTATGCATGTTCGGTGTGTATGCAATTACTGCAATAAGTGAGTATACTACAGCTGCAGAAGAAGTCGAGACTAAGAAAACAATCCACTGGTGTGGTTTTACAAAGCTAATAAGTTCGGATTGTGAACCTTGAGAGACATCCACACAGCCGACACAGGTTTGTGTGACATTGGAACAACACTGGTTGATGAGGACAAATTAAGTTTTAGAAATGCTCAATTCGGTGTCTTTGTAGGCATGACATCCGGATAACTCGCATCGTCCGGCCGGGGCTCATAGTTGTTGGTGGTTATAGCAGTTAGTCCTGAACTAGCGTCCATATTGGTCTAATGCGCCTACCGCCGGACTCGCCAAGCAGCTTCTGACGGATTTTGATTTGCTAACGGAAGCAAATAGACGAGTCCCAGGAAGCAGTCTTGAAGAAGGTGACACGATCGCCGGGACAAGACCTTTGTAAGCCTGACGTTTCGGATTCCTGCTCGCACCCGCCACCAGAGACAAAACAGTTACGGGTGGTTCATGCACAAGGAGCTGCAGTATTTTTAGGATGCGTTTGTCATGCTAGCGCATAACGTACAAGCCCTTTGTCTTTCTCACCATTCGTCTATTGTCGCTTTAAGTCTCAGTCAAGTTCACAACACAGTATTATTCGACGATCAGTATGCAGATGACACCTACGTAAGTGAGGTACCCCGCTCGAATTAAAAGTTGGTAAATTTAGCAAGTGGTTTTGATACGCGTCGGGCCGTCCGGAGACGCGACCCGCTGTCACAGGTCAAATTCACAACCGGGAAGAAGGCCAGGAATTCAACTTCGAAAGCACGCGGATAATTGCGCCGGTCAGCAATAAGACAGGGCGAGAACTGCTGGAGGTCTAGGTGTCTGATACCAACTCCATCAACAGACACGTTGATACACCCCCCTTGCCATCACGCGCTCCATTCCAGCGGCCAAGAGGCGAGACCCAGTTCCCACCCGAGGGTACACGCACTCACGCCGCCGTGAGATGACGTGGATTCAACCTTATCGAGAACATCACCCCCTGCATTCCCCGCCTTCTGCGTTTGACTACAAAAACTGCTCATTTGAAGCCGCATTCTCACAGTCTCTGAAGGTGGCCTCCGTACGATACCGAAAGCTCAGACTAATACCTAAAATACCCTAATAACATAAAATACCCTACTATTATTAATACACGTACTGTCCCAGTGATCGCGCGTTCATAGTCTCGGAAAATTCCGTCTATTCTGACAAATATTGACAAATGTTTAACAGGCAGAATGATATAACCGACAAAGACAAGGGAGACTGGAATGGCTATTTCTGGGTTATTAGCCGTCGTCAGTCAGTCATACCCAATCCCGAAGTGTGGAACACCCGAGGCTCGAACTCGCGACCTGTTAGTTAGAAGTCCACGCCTCTAATATTTAACAACTTTTAATAAAGCGTTTTACTCTTGGCATTTGTTGCGTGTAACCACCGTGTTGTATTTCTACAGGCAAAAGCATCTCGGCCGATAGAAGCGAAGAGGCGCCTTCCGGAAAGCTGACGGAAAGAACGAACAGCAATCGCTTGAATTAGCGTTTTTTGTAACCTGACGTCTTTGATTCGCCATCGTATCCCTCATTGTAGAGGGAACTAGATATCATCTGTTAGTTCTGCAAGAGTTGTTGTATTAAGGGGATGGAGTTGAGGCTGAGTGCCAATCAAAAATTGGCGACTACCGCAATAAACGCGGATGGTTAGCGAGGTGCGACAATGGTCCGCTTGTCCGCAACCAAATCGTCAGTTGCTGAAATTTTAGTACTCACAGTAGTTTTTGGTGGGATACCTGCAGAGCCATTTGTCTCATCGACGTTGGCTTTGCGCCTCCACGTTCTAACTGCCCTGGCCGACCGGTCTCCTAGGGGGGATTTGGAAATGGAATGCCGCTGCATTCGTTAACTGGAAAAAGGCCAGAAAACCATGATGAGAGGAGTTTGCGGTTTACATTGCGGTCGACTCTTGCAAGAATGGCGGCCCTGTGACAGTCGAAGGTGCGGCCGGGTCCACTCGGGTTAGCCGTGGCCTGGGCGCTGATGTCATTAATCTTCAATGCAGCCAAATGTTCAGCCATTGGCGCCCAGAATAGTTTATCATTTTTATCCGTGTAATTAATTGACGCAGGCACATCTATTATATGTTCTATTATGTTAGTTGGCTCATAACGCTGATGTTAGCGACAGTGCTCGTCTGATAACCGCCCGCGTGACTAATTTACCTGCCCACGTAAAGTCTCTGCACAAACCGTGGGGGTAGGTTGAACGAGTGACAAGCGAAAAACCGTATCACCTCTCTTTCCGTACCATTAACCGGACTCTTTGCCGGTCCAAACTTCGTTATGAGAAGTATTGTTGAGTGTTCACATTTATGCATCTGCGGAAACTCCTAAGTTGACAGCTGTCGATGCCAAATGCAGTAGTGACGATGGAAACTACCTTGAGAATTTCAGTTTGCAGGGCAACGAACAGGCAAACATTTGTCGATGATGAAGAGCCTCAAAAGGCAAACAGGTGTATTATTTCGCCCCAAATATATGTGTACCTGCAATGCGTTTTGCAGCGCTTTGCCTATTTTACTGAGGCTTAGATATGTCGTTTTTGCTGATATCATTCGTAAATGATGCCAGTCCTGGCGGCTTGGATTTTCCCGCTTTTGGATAGGTATTCTATCATGCTCCAAAAAATTATCCATTTTTACCGCGTGCGCAGTGAAAGCTTATCAAATTCTCATGCAAAGATTAACACACATAAGGCCAAGAAAAAATAATCAGTTAACAAAATACACGAACAAACAATGCTTTTTTTGTATTTTCCAAATAATGGACAACGATTTTATAGGGGCGATTGAACGTATGGTTCCCGCTGGAGCCTTGCATCTCAGGTGGTTAGGTCTTCGGCTGCACTTATGTTTTGCGCCCGCAGTTGTCGGTTCGAATCCCACAAAGGCCACCACGTTTTCACAAGAAAGTCAAACGAAGGTTACAATAATTAGCAAGTGTATAATTGGAACAACCGAGTGCATACTATCAGAATTCATGCAGATGTACAGAACATCAGATCGCTTTCCTGAAAGGCCATCCGAGCAGACGATTCCAACTTTTCCAGTGCTTTTTTGCCCCAAAATTTGATGCTCCGATCAAGGTTTC